CACCTTAACTTCTTCGCCGAGAATGAGATCGACCAGGTGGTTGAAGGCCTGCGCTAGCGAGGCCAGCACTTTCCACCAGATCGTCGACCTTGAACGTGCGGTTCATCTGGCCGCAGGACGTGACGTACTCCAGCATCTTCTCCATCAGGGAGCGCAGTTTGTCGAGGTTCTGCACACGTGCGAGGCCTGACCGTCCGGATGCGAGATCACGTACTCTCGCACGAAGCTTTGGATCGCCTCGGTGACCGTCTGCGCTATCCGAGGGACCTCCTTGATGTCCAGCTCCTCCATGCGACTGTGCAAAGGTATACACGAAAGCGTTACCGACTCTGATCCCTCGCCTCTCGTGTCTGCAAGCCGTGGCGAACACTACGGTTTAGCTTCGCCATGACTTTTCAATAGTTCTCTCGACTAGAGTCCAATATGCCAGAGAGGCAATACAACAGTTGTGGGCCAGTTCAACGACACAACACACTCCGTTAGGAATGAAATGGCGCAACGGTGAGCGAATGAAATGCACAAATCCTTTAATGCAGAGAAGAACAACGCCAGTCGGGTTCGAACTGGTCTGATGACCAACAATGTTACACCGCTAGATTCGAAGACTTCTCATCTGTGACTAAAAAGTTGGAGCCATCACATCCACCGACTGCTTCCTATCTGGACAAACGAGTGCACCCTGCACAATCTGCACACTGCGCACACACTCGTAAACTCACGAGAAGAGCGAGGCGAAGTCCCGGCTGACGGTTTTGGCGCGGACCTGAATGTCCCGGATGTTGGTTCGCGCGTTCCTCGCGGCCAGCGCGAGCAGGTGCGACATGTCCGAGATGACCGACTTGCTCTGCAGCGTGTTCATGCATTCGACGTCCACCTCCCAGCACTGCTCCTGCAGCCAGTGGCGCACTGACGGGGACCTGCACGCACGGGTCAGGTCAGGTCAGCTGGGGTCACTCCGGGATCACTCCGGCCAGCTGGAGCTACAAGCGGTCAGGTGAGGTCGCGTAACATCAGTTAAAGTCAAATCAGGCCACGTGACGTCAGGTGAGGTCGTGCAAGATCAAATGATTCATGTGAGGTCATCCCAGGTCATGTGGTGCCAATCGCGCTCTAGTCGCGATACCTGGGCATGGGCAGACTGAGCGAGTCAAATGGCTGACCTTTCCACCTCTAAGCACCCGGCTGAACGCTGCACACGTGTTACATGAACCAGTGACAAGGTTTACTGCCCAGTGGAATGTATGACTGCTTGATGTAACATATACAACAGCATGAGATAATTGTCAATTCCAGCTACGAATAATCCTGTGCCGCCATGTTGTTCTGTGCTTGTCTCTGATCTCCGCTTCCAGCCAAGCATTTGTCGGTCAGACCAGCCCATTCCTGTTAGCTAGCTGGCGGTCAGCACTAAGAGTCGTGGAACTTCCTGATCAGTTAAGCCATTGGCGGAGACCTTAGAGGCCCAGACACGTTTTGTTCACCACTTATGTCATTTCACCTTCGTCAGTTTCCCGTATACTGTGCCAATCAAGGACAAGAGGAACTCCAATCGCCCATTGTCTAAAAGAATACGCTTTTCTGACGCCAACCAATATCGTAAGGTGATTTTCAAGGTAACTGGATGCGAAAGCAAGCGTTCTCTGCGTGATTAATGCAGTGACGGTGATACGTTCCACTCAGACAGACATGTCTTTTCCGCGGAAACTACGCGAATAACATTGAAGTGACTCGCTAATAAAGACGTTTAAAAATGTTGCCATTTGGTCTGGCGATTCCCAGGCAGACTCATGCCGCATCACTTTGAAACATAACCACAGTGGACAATTTCAAATGCCTGTGGCATGTTTACTTGCGCTGCGCATGCATGCGTACATATATTAGTGTTTGAAAAATGGCCAGCTAGCATTAACTTACTCAAGGCCTGTGCATCATGTGCCTGGCAGCCAAATCCTTCCAATGCCTCGCTCTTGCTACCAAGCATGCGGCCCAAATCGGCAATTTCCTTTTCACTTTCAGCGAACGTCTTCACGAGAAGCACGCTTGCATGTCCCGCTACTCGAAGCCGCGCCGCCGCCCGTCCGGCCGCGTGCGGCCTCCAAGCGCGTGCGCCGGCCAGACGGGGCCGTGCACGCGGCTACGCCCGCACGGGCGTGCGCGGGCCGGTGTCGCGTCAGCGGCGCCTTCTGATTGGGCCGCAGCGCGCACGCTCGCCGCGCGCACGGACTGGAAACATCCGGGACGCGAGAGGGCGCGGTATGCGGAGGGGATCAGCCCAAGGTGGCCGTTTTCCTCGTCTGCGGCCGGCGTAAACTGCTCACGGCTGCCTATATCGGGGGTGGACGCGGATGCGGCACGGGATAGTGATCGGGCAAGTGCCGAGATCGTCGCCAATCGGGCGGGGACGATCCGCTGAATGGAGTGATCATCCGACAGAGCTTTCCTCTCGCCGTAGCGGTCTGTGCGGCGAGTGCTGCTAGGAAACGGAATGCTCTCATGAACGCGATCATCTCTGATCTATAAATAACGCGAGGCAGTGGCCGGTTAGCGCCATGCCGAAGTGCGGCCGAGCGTAGCTACCGAAACAGGCGAAAGAAATAGCCGCCGCGTGCCACACCATCAGCTTTTCACAGCCGCCATCACACCCGCGCGTGCCGCATTATCGGTCCCTGGACACAGTTCACGGTCACGACACGAGAGTCTATTGGCTATGGGGCTGACGTGTCTGCATTGCTCCAAGCCTGGTCACGGTCATCTGGTCGGTGATAGATTGTGGTAATCGACAGAGCCGGCATCAAACTGTCATTAGCCTCTGGGTCGCCAGAGCGATCTCGCAGCGGGTGCACGCATGTCGAATTACTGCTGCCCAAATTCGGTCGACGCGAAGTTAGACCGCGAATTTTCCAAAACCCCCGCAAATCCCGGGCTCGGAATTCCAGTGCCAATCGTCCACAAGGCTGTCTGTCGAGTTTGGCGTATTACGCATTGTGGTCTCGCCTATAAATGCGTGTCTCCCGCAGAGACAACACACCCAGCGTGATATCGATGCTTAGCATACCACTCCATCTCGTATGGCATCTCCCCCACAGACATCAGCCGACAACACTGAAGGAGACACTCCCGTGCTCAGCGGGGTCCCAATTCACGGGCACTTCTGTTTTGGCGCGCGCTGCCCGAGCTTGAGTTACTTAAACCCCATCACCAGCACGGGTCATCCGTCCAGCGATGTCAGTCTCACCCAGGCCACAGATTCCACAGGTCCCCCAGGCCAGGGACACCTCCTGAACCTCAGCACGTGTTACCAATACTGAGGCAGATATTCGTATCAGTTGGTTTCCAATGCGTCTTGGTTTGATTGGGATTATAGCCCCTTCGCCTCTTCGTGACCATTTTAGGGATGAAGGGATAGTGACGAGGTGAGATAATACTGCATGCACATGGAAGTCCCCAGCGGAGACCTATCTTTAGACCTCTCCCGCCCAAGGACCCTCTTAGGGGCGTGTGCTTAACACTCGGTCGAGCACAAGGGTCACTTAAGCCCACTTACAGTTTGTGCCGTGAACCTCGCCTCGGATCGACGTAGCGTCGCGAGATTTTAGGACGAAGCGTGAGCGATGAGAGAAGGGCGGATGCCAACGAGTCTAACTCAAGTTTTGGGACATCTCCCTCTCCTGCGCATCCCATCTAGTTCGGGGACACCTGCCTCTTAGAAGCATATGGGTTTCCCGAATGTGAAATCTAACTGCCATCTATCAGGGGGTTCTCCCGATGTGGGATACTCATTCCACATTCACATCTGTTATCCAAGCACGTGGATTCCCCGGACTTAAGACACTACTCACTGCAATCGCGAGTTATCCAGGGGTGTGCATCACGTCCATCTCGGTGAATGTCACCAAGTCTAGAGACACCTCTCCCCTTCCCCGAACCTAGTCACCCGATTCGAAGACGACCTCCGGACTGGAGCGTTACACCCACTCCAGGGACGTCTCTGTCCCACCTCGGCGCGGGTCGTCCGGTTCAGAGCCCCGGTGCGTACGCCTTCACCCTCCCGCCGCGCCGCCGCCGGGGGCCAGGTGGAGACACGACAGCGGCCGGCTCCCGCCATCGATCTCGGCCGCCGGGGCGCCGACAGACGGCCGGG